TGAAACTGAATTAAAGTGAACCTAGGGTGCTAGTGCCTCCAGGTATGGGGAGGAAGCAAAGGCAAATTCTTCCTGAAGGATCACTGTATTCTTCAAGTTATTTTGACAGGTAGTTTTGCAAGAACAATTTCTGGCATATATCAACAGTTACCAGATGCATGAAAAGAGACAATGTGAGCAAAAATTAAAAGAAATGATAGTAAAAATGGATCCATAGGGGCATCAGATTTTGGAGTTACCAGATACAGACTTAAATATTGTAAATCAACTATACTTCAATTAAAAATTATATTTATTATGTTTAAGGAGATAAAAGACAAGCTTGAGAAATCTGGCATAGAATTGAAATTTCTAAAAATAGAACCAAATAGCAATTCTATAGCTAGAAAAATACAGATGAAAATGAAGAACTCTGCTGACAGGTTTAGCAACAAGTTATTACAGCTGAAGAGAAAATAGTGAATTAGAAGAAAGATGAGAGGAAAATATATAAAAATACAACAATGGAAAATTCAAGGAAGAGATAAGAGACATAGAAAATATGGTAAGAAATTCTAACATTTGTATAAGTGGAGTCCAAAAAGGTAAGGAGAGTGAGAATGGACAGAAGCAGTTTTTGGTAATAGTTGTGAATTTTCCAAAACTGATGTAATCTACAGATTCCCAAAGCCCTATATACCCCCAAGCAGGGGTATATATAATCCACAGTAGGTACACATTAAATTAAAACTGCTATAAAACCAAAGCAAAGAGAAAATACTAAAAGTAGCCAGAGAAAAATTACAGTTTGCCTTCAAAGAAATAGTAATTAGACTGACAGCTGACTTATGCACAGGGAAGTGAAAGCTAGATTATTTTTAGCATCCTGAAAGACAATAACAACCAATATAGATTTTTTTTCAGTGAAAATAGTCTTCAAAAATGAAAGTGAAAAAAGATATTTTTAGGCAATCAAAAACATGATTTATTACCTGCAGACCTCCACTAACTAAATTCTTCAGGCAGGATCAGAGCTAATAAAAAAGAAATGAAACTTGATCCTTATTTCACATACCATATACACAAAAAATCAACTCTACTTGGATTATAGACCAAAATATGAAAAGAAATAAACTCCTAGGTGATAATACAGAAGAATAGTTTCCTGATCTCAATGTAGGGAAAGACATTTTAAATAGGACATACAGAAACTGATAAAGGAAAAGATTAGTAAATTTTGATGTCATTAAAATTAAAAAACCTTGGTTCAACCAAGGACACCATTGAAAGGGTGAAAAAGTAAATCACAGAATGGAAGCAGGTATTTATAACACATAAAATTTACACAAATTTGTATCCAGAACTCCTATAAATAATAGAAAGACAATCTAGCTCTCACCTTTTGGCTTGGAGGAGAACAAGGGGCAACTATCTTCAGTTGTCCCTAATCTAGGTTCATCTGACACCAGCTGCCTGGACCCCGCAATTCCTTGTTTCTTCTTCTTTTTGTTTGAATGCATCATTTCCAGTCTCTGACAGCTATCTTCTCTGCTTAGTCATCTGCTTTTACGTGGCCTACGAAGGCTTCTCCCAGAAGGTAGGCTTAGTTCTTGACCTGACTGAGTCCCTTCACAGTCTGTTTTGGTCTCTGGTACCAACCCCAGGTTTTTGGAAAGAGAATTGGACTGACTGTGGGCAGATATTTACCCACAATCAATGAGCTATGGCCAACATAGTGTTCCTTGGTCACCAGGACTGCCCCTTCAATGAACAGGGGAAATTCTTAAGAAAGGGTTGTAGACATCTCTACTATAATATCACTGCTTATAACACTGAAAGATTTGAAACAAATCTCTAGCTCTAACATTAGAGGACTAGAGATTGGTTAAAATTATGGTACAGCCTATGGGATAATATACAGACATTTAAAATTATTATGTAGTCCCATTTTTGTTGACCCTGAAAAACGTTCATGAATAATACTAGATTCATGTCCTTTCAGAAATAGAAATATATAAATAGTATTTACATTATATATATAAATATTATATATATTTATATTTGCACTAAGCCCTAGAATGAGTGGAAACTATGCAACATTAATGGAATAATTAATGAAAAGCTGTATTAATATCTGAACTAGTAGGTATTATAGTCCAACTGATCAATTCATGGTACAGTATTGTCCAGTGGAACCTGTAATCTCCATACCCCGAAGTTAATTGCTGGAGATAGGGAGGAAATATATCAATATATAGATGTATGTACATATGCATCTGTCTATATACATACATAGGTATGTATGTATATTTATAAATGTATTTCTGGAAAGATATGCACCAAAATGTTAACAGTGGTTATTTTTGGCTAGTGGGGATTGTGTTTGGTTGTTTTGATTTTTGGTGTTTTTTAAAAAATTTTTTTTCTTGTCTGTATTTCCTGATTTTTCTACACTGGATCATGGATTTTTTGTATACTAAAGTTTGGAAGGGTAAATGCAAAATGTTTTTTTATCTGTATTTAATTTGTTAGCATGTATTTGTGTTGTTTCAAAAACATAATTTGAAATAAATAATATGGATATATAAAGCCCTGTATTTAAGTTAAAAAGCCAATTATTTTCCAAAAATCTGTTTCAGAAATAGAGCATAGGAAAGACTGGGCTTGGAAAAAGGTTATTTTTATAAACCCTTGGAGATCTTTATTGATTTATTTAGGTCAACAGGGTAAGGCAGCAGTTAAAGAAATCTAGTGCCCAGTTAGCATATTACATCAAGAAATATTGTGTCCTTGTTAAGAGAGTATTGTCTCAGTGTACTCTGCAAGGTTTAGAACACATATGAAAAAGCTGTCCATTTTAGGTCTTTACTTGAAATGGAACAAAAAGAAACAACAGAAGGAGGCCAGCATGGCAGAGTCATCTAGGGGGTGAGTGAGAGGACTGGAGGTGGTCAGTCTTCCCTAGTGCTCTAACCTCTTAGGGGAGGAACTTGCGGGAAATGTGATAGCAGGCTGTAAGTATTTGAAAGGATATTGTAGGGAGTGGTGATCGAAAAGCAGAATCTACCAGGAAGCAAATTTTACTTAGGTCAACTTAGGGAAGAACTTTCTATTCTCAATGAAAAGGGCCTCTTCATAGACTAGCAGAGACTGGAGAACATCTGACTTTTGTCATTGACTCAGTTGCTTTGTTGAGAGGTGTAAAGAAGACCTCGGGCCTCCTCCTGTGTTTCTTCTTTACGCTCACACTGCCACACTCACGACACTTCTGACACTAGATGTGTGGACTTTTTTCCCCACACCAAGCAATTCTGCAACACCACCTGGGTGTCCTACAGTTTAACTCAATTCTAAACACTGTCTACCTGGAGATAGTGTCAGATCCGACTGGTTAAGGGCTCAGTTCCCCTAGACGGCTCCCACCCACTTCAGATGCCAGTCACAGGTGTTATTCCCCGGGTTACCTACAACTTCTGTCAATCTTGGCTACAAATTGGAGGTTCCCATGACCTCCTCCCTCTTGGATTTGATTATTTGCTAAAACAGCTCAGAGAACTCAAGGAAACACTTATGTTTACCAGTTTGTTAAAGGATATGGTAAAGTTACAGAGGAACAGTCAGATACAAAGAGTAAGGTCTGGAAGGAACCCAAGTGAAGGAGCTTCTGTCCCTGTGGATTTGGGGTGGGTCACCCTCCTGGTATGTGGCTGTGTTCACTGAACTGGAAGCTCTTGAAACCCCATACTTTGGGATTTTTATTGAGGCTTCATCACATAGGTGTGATCAATGATTAACTCCATTTTCAGCCCCTCTCCCCTCTCTAGAGAATGGGGGCTGGAGTTGAAAATCCCAAGCTTCTAATTATGGCTTGGTCTTTCTGGTTACCAGACCCTATCCAGGAGCCCAAGAGTCACCTTATTAGAACAGGAGACATTGTTATCACTCAGGAAATTCCATGGGACTCTGTGTCAGGAACCAAAGTCAAAGACCAAATATTAGAACAAAAGAAACTCCTAGTGCTCTAATCACTTAGGAAATTAGAGAGGTTTTATTCTGTGCCAGGAACTCAAGGCAGAAACTAACTGATGTATTTTCTGTTATCTCACAAGAGGAAAGTTGGGTGGCATAAGCGCCAAGGTCTTTCTACCTATGAGAGTGTGAGCTGACAAAAAAAAAATAGATCTTATTCACATACAAAATAATGAGAATAGATTATAAAGTTGGATCACAAATATTTGCTGGTTATTTACACTCTTATGTTCCTACCAAACTCTGAAATTTTCAGCATTTGAGGTTTATGTCAATACGTTGTATTTTATACTGAGAAGTGAACTTTGGGCTTTAGTTTCTTGCTGTCTTAACTAGAGGAGGTTCACTGGAGGTCATCTAAACACAATGAACCATATGCTTTTCTGAGTGCTCACGGAAAGGCTAAATAAATACTCCATAAAGTTTAGTAGTACCTAATGGTTAAGAGCATGATTGCCTGGGTTTGAATCCTGTCTCTGTGCTTTAGTTTTCTTACCTGCAAGATGGCAATGTAAATACCAGGCATAGGCTTGTTGTGAGCCTGGGAACATGGCCTCAATTCCTTGAGGATGCCTAGTAGTTATTCAGTAAATCATTGGTGAATGACTGAGTGAGTAAGTGAGTGAAATTACAAAATCCTTTCTCTGACCCTGGATACCGTGATGTGAGCTGATGGAATGTAGGGGTGGCACTCTCTGCTTTGGCACTGAATTCCAGGTCATTTCATCCTACATTCCATTCTGTACTCTACATTCTGCCCAGTTTAACCATTTGCTATCTGGGAAATGTGATTCTTAAATTAGGATTAATTCTGTGGGGATTTGTTTTGGAAAATGGCTTATTTTTTTATGAGTAGGTTATAACAGTCTGAGCATATTTGGATGTAATGACTTGAATAATTTATGTGCTGGGCCTCCCGGAGTATAAAGTTTATGCCTAGAATATTTTTGGAAAGAGAAAGTTGGTTGACTACTGCCAGATTTTTAAAAAAGATAGAGGATAATTATGGTTGTGTTCCCTCTCAGGCATTGAATTTTTCTTTCCATGATTTTCTAGAGAATGAAGATCTAGAAGACACCAAGGTCACCTCTCTAGCAGCTTCTGCCTCTGATCTTGAACCACATTCCTCACCCTACAGGTAGGGACAGCAACTACTTTGGATGTAATGCTTCTAGAGGTTTCATCTTCTGAGATAAGGAATTGTTGGAGGAAGTAGACAGAGACTTTAAGGGGGAATACAAATTGAAGTGAAGAGTATGGAGACTGTTATCATTAAACTAGTCAACCCTTTTGTGTATCTAGGGGCAATGTGAGATATCTTTCTGGTTATAAAATTTTCTTTCACTCTCAGAGAATAAAACAGTGACAGATAGTATAGTGTCTTCATTTATCTCCTCCCAAAGACCATGTTTAAAAGTTAAAACATTAGAAGTGGCTCCCAGGTGGACTTTTAAGACCATGTATTTTTGATTTTTACTCATGAAATGCACACAAACACACTATTGGAGGCAGTTTTAAAAATTATGTAGTTTTCAGAGTAAACCATTATGATGACCTTCAGGTTGTCATTCTTAAATTCCCTTTCCACCCATCTCATCCACCTGCCATCGGTGATATCAGAGTATAGCGGAAAGGGAATAGTACTACTGAGCCCTAGACTACGTGGAAGCCGCAAGGCATTAATGGAATAATTAATGAAAAACTATATTTTGGAGAAACCTGAGCTACTGTGTATTATAGTCCAACAGATCAGTTCATGGTACAACATGGTCCAGTAGAGCCTGTGGTCTCCATGCCCCACACAAAATTGATAGCTAGAGATGGGGGGACTGTCAGGATATTTTAAAAATCTGTTATTTCTTAAGTAGAAGTTCTTTCTTCTTTATTTATATATAAATAAAACTTTTTTCCCTTAGAATTCAGACAATGGAAGATAATAATGATTAATATACTTACAATATAGGTGATAATAGTGTTAATAGCCAGACTAGGTTGAATGTTTCTCTGTAATAATGATAATAAAATAGTTACTTTTTATTAAATGTTTCTATTTGCTCAATACTGTACTAGGTGTTAAAATATATTATCTCATTTAATTCTCATAACTAACCTAATGAAATAAGTATTTTTTTAAGATGAGGAAAATGAAACAGTGAATTTGATAATTTGTCCAAGCTCACACAGCTTTAGGTTTGTCTGCTCTAAAGCTTATTCTCAAAGTAGCAATAGAAAGGTTTTGAGTTCTATGCTTAGAGCTACTAGGTTATTACATATAAGGACCCTTTTAGAAGACAGCTTCCTCAAGGCGTTGATTCTATGAGACAATTCAGGTTCTCGTCAAATCCCCTGAGGGAAACGTCCTTCCATTCTCCTGGCACCACCCTTTCTCTGCACATGTTGACTTGAAGGATCTTTGGGGGATGGCTTTTGTCACGGAACTAATTTTTCCTCCTAAGAGTAAACAACTTTTTGAGTGACAAATATAGAACATTCTTAGAAAAAAGGAGGTAAAATTTTCAAGTTTTGTTTCTAAAATCTAGTGTGTGAAGGAAGAAAAAATTCCAGCAAGCCTTACGCCTTGAAGTTCAGTGTTTGTGGTTTGTATATTTTAGAAATGGAAACGGCACAAATCTCTGTCTTTCCACCCCTTTGGGACGGGCTCCCTGCTCTGGGTCAGCATAAACCAGAAGGCTTACAGTGGGAGTTTTTCCTTTACCTGGTTTATCATTGGCATCAAGTGATCTGCAGTTTATCTTTCCCCAAGTACCCTTCACTAGTTCTTCAGAGCATAAAATGCTAATGGGAGTATTAAATATATGTGGCTGTTGCATGTCCCACTTAAAATATTTTTTAAACAAGCAGAACCATATTTGTGCAAAGCAGCATGCACCAAGGCGAAGAAGAGGCTGCATTTTAGATGCCATACACAGTAGGGTCAGGTGGATGGTCAGACTGACTATTGTGTTCTCACATTCCAAACAGTCCCCTTTTGTTCCCAGACAAAAGTTAACTTATTCATTATCAATTCAACTATATTTGTTGAGAGCCTGCTGTTACCTGGCAGTGTTCTGGACACTGAAGCTATCACAAATGAACAGACAATCCAAGTCCCTGGTTGCTCATGCAGTTTACGTTCTATTGGGGGAGGCAGATGGAAAACAAATATACATCATATTTTGTAGGATCTAAGTTGCCATCAGCCGTAAGATGAATGGTCATTTTACATACCACCAAGAAAGGAAAAATGCCCGAGAGAGAGTCTATTAAGAGACCCCCACCAATGCCTACACCTTCAGTAAAAAGAGAAATAAGGAAAGAGATCCTTCCACACAGAAAGGGACTGCAGGGAAACACAGATGTCTCAGCCGCGGCGCTGCGTAAGGGGAGGAAAATTACCTCCCCTGAGAATGTGAACCACAAGTCTGTTCTCTAAATTCACTCTGCCAGTGTGGTCTAACCAAAACCCTTAGAAAGAATTTAATCTCAGGTCGCCTCAGTCGGTAGCATTCCTGAGCCCTGGCAGAAGCAAATGCAAATCTCAGGAGGAAGGACACCATGTCCATCCAGGCCCGTGGCCATTTTAAGACGCCACCAAGTTTTAGGCCATCCCGTATTTCAGTTGTATCAAAACTGGAAAACAAGTATGCATCTTGCGGTCAACAAAATATGGTACATAATGTGTCAGGCGGTCATAAGTGCAGTGAGGAAAAACGAAGCTGGATGGGGGTGTGAAGAGTGTTGGGGCCTCAGAGAGTGAGCATTTTATGTACAGGCGTCTGGGAAGCCTCCCCGCTGTGACAGCTGAGCAGAAACCTGAAGGAAGGAAGCCCTGAGGTAACTGGGGGCAGAGTATTCTTTCTAGGCTGAGGTGATAATAGCAGGCCCCCAAACCTCAGGTGGGGGAGTGCTTGCCGCGTCTGAGGACTCCCGGAGATTCAGGAGGCCACCATGACTGGAGCGGACTGGGCAAGGCCAGGTGAGGTCCTCCTGGGACATGAGGTCAGCGTGCAAAGGGCCCTAGGGCTCCCTGCGACGGGCTTGGCCGTAGACACTGTGCCTGCAGAGGGAGGGGACCCAGTCCTGCCGTCTCGCTCACCTCCTAGTAGAGGAGACAAATAATAGTATCAAAACGGACTCCCATTTCTAGGTTTAAGAGAATAAAATAGACTCACGGCCTAGACGAATTTACGCTTTACACAAGATTACCCTAGCAAACCTACAAACAACAACCAAGTTCTGATTTTTATAGTAAGTGCCTCTTGTTTGTTCTGAGGTAAATTGGAGTGACTTACGTATTTCAAAGCTGGCTCTGTTTTATCTGAAGAAGAGGTAACTTATAAACTAGGGGTGATTTTTCTTGTTTGTGTTAAAAAAGAGAGAGTGAGAAAGAAGGAAGGAAAGAAACTCATGAACTCCAAAATAAGCCCTGTTTCCCCATGTGGTTTACAGTGTGGTTCTCCAGTCGGTTCTCAGCCTTTCTGAGGAGATGGACGCTGCCCGAAAGCAGTGGTTCTCAAAACTTTGCACACTTAAAAATTCTTGAGGACCTCAAAGAAGTTTTGCTTATGTGAGTTGTATCTATCAATGTTTACAATACTAGAAATTAAAACTGGAAAATTAAATAATATTCATTCACTTGAAAAGAACAATAAGGAACTCATTACATGTTAATATAAATGACATATTTTTAATGAAAAACAGCTATTTTCCAAAGCAAAAGTAATTTAGTGGGAAGAGAGATGTTGTAAATCTCTTTAATGTCTGGCTTAACAGAAGACACTTGGATTCTCAGATCTGCTTCTGGGTTTGTTCTGTTGTGATATTATATGTCATACAGTTTCTGGAAAATTTCACTGTAAACTCCTGAGAAGATGAAAATGAACAAAGGCAGATAATATTTTAGGATGATTAGGAAAAGGTTTTGACTTCGCAGACTCCCCTGATAGGGCCTTAAGGACTCCAGGGGTCCCCAGACTATACTTTGATAATTGCTACTCTGAAGAATCCATGCCACCTTTTGTAGATTTCTAAGAAGCCTGGGGTATTGCGCTGCAGCCCTGGCACTTAACCCACTTTCTGGTCTCTCCGAAGCCAGGAGAAATGGAAGACAGCGTACATTATCCCCCTGCTTCTTTGTGTTTTAAGTCATTGGAATAGTAGATTAATGGGCTTAAAAAAGGAAAGAAAGTGACTGCCTTTTAAAATTACTCGGTGAACTGGGTGTGATATGGACATCAGTGGTAGCATGTGAGTGGAAATGCTGACCTGCTCCTGGGCTAACAGTGGAGAGGGTCGCCTTGCTGATCAGTCCGCACTTCTGCTGTTTTGTGAGCAATTTTTGGTTTGGGTGAGGCCTCCTCCCTTTGCTTCTAGCAGTGACTTTATGTGTTGCACAGAACTGAGATTCCAGCTCTTCTTTTGTTGAAATTCTGTGTGGAGCAAATGGCATGGGTCCCAGAGTGAGGAATAAAACCAGACCCACCATCCATCTCAGACAACTGAGCTGTGTATTTATCATGGTTCTCGGAGCCTGGGACCTAGAGTTGTCAGTCCTGGGCCCCCACATGCTGTCACTGGTGTGTTGCGGTCCATTTCAGCCCTGGGCAGCAGCCAGTGGAAACGACAGTAAACCTAAATCCCAGAGGAAAGCAGGGCTTGGGGGGTGCCCTTTGAAGGTTCTTTTCTCTCTGAGTTTCTCCAGGACTGTTGTGCCTTTTAAAAGAGTCCTTGAATTGACATGCTGTCTTGCTCTGAGAGGCCGCAGATGGTAGCTCCAGTGAGAGAGGATGTCACGGAAGATCAGCTGAAAGCAGCTGGTGCCGTAGAGGCTCAGGCCTCAGTGGAACAGGAATTGCTGCCTGCGGACCAGGCCCCGGTCCTCAGCAAGGTAGGAAGCGTGTTCTCTACAAGCACGAGATTGTGGCACCAGAGTTTGATGTGTTTGGATGGGTTGGAATTAAAAAGCACCAGGGCATTTCACATTTAATTATTTGGGAATAAGTGTGTGTATCCTTCCAGGGCCCATCACTGTACCAGCACTCGGTAAGCATCTATTCAAAAAATGAAGTGTTATAATAAATGTTCACATGTTGTCTGAAATCCTTTCCATGTGAGGAGCCTTTAACCATTGGATTGCATTAGTCTCAGTTTTCTTGTGGTAGATCTACTCAGTATTTATGGTAAAGATTCCACAGAAGTGGTACCAGTAACAGTGGTCTCCCTACCATGGATGAAAGGGTTGTTTGTACCACTGTTAACATTTATAATAGCAAATGGTGTTGGTGTTAGGAACGACAATGCCAAACATTATAATTTTATTTGTATAATGCTGTCTAGTTTACAAAGCATTTTTACCCACAGTACTTCATTTATTCCTGAGAATAACCTTGTGAGATATGTACCATTATGTCCCCATTTTACAGATGGGGAAACAAGCTAAGAGCTGTTAGTGATACTTTACTAAGGCTATGCAGCTAACAAGTTGCAAACGAAATCCTTTGTTTCACCTTCTGGAAAAGGAAGAACTCATGCAAGCAAGTTAGCCAAAGTCTGATTTACCTCATTGAACAGTGAAGATAAGAGCTGAAGGACCTACTCTCCAGTAACAGATATTACGTGTAGTCTGGGAGGATTACACAATTTACTTATTTATTTCTTGCAACTATAATTCTGATTTCTTAACTGGACTGCTGTCTCTCTGATGTCCTCTCCTATGTTGGCAGTAGGTGTACATTTCTTGAGTTGCCTGCCGACGGCTTAGAGAAGGAGCAGAAAATTAAGGCACAATAGCATGAGACAGGGAAATGCTAATCTGAGTAATGTGAAGTGAAACCCTCTACGGAGAGATTGCAGGCTCCTGCCATGGGTCAGTGAGCGCTTTGAGTATTGAGTGACATTTGTACTCTTCATGGAAGTTAGATGTCTGGCAGCAAATATACTGTTTAAATGCAAATCCTGGCACTAGTCTAAGGTGAAATTATAATTGTTTATAGAACACTGTTAGTGGATGAGACAGCCTATGGGATGAGACATCCAAGGTAGCCATGGGTGAGAGAGAGAGACAGAGGCAGAGTATGAACCAGATTCTCTCTCTGCAGTGCTTTGGTGAAATTAGCAGTGATCTGGAAGTCACTTTGAATAGACATTGTAGTAGGAGGATGTGTGGCAGATTGAGCTAAACCCTAGATGCGAGAACTGTTAAGAGAGGAGCTGCAGGGCGGGACTTGCAGGCTGAGGTGAGAACAAGGCATGGATGGCCCAGAAACGCTGTCCGTGTGAAAGTCAGTAGCAAACTTTCAGGATGTTCATGGGCAAAGATTTCATAAAGGATCTGAAGTGGGAAAGTTGCAAAAAGTAGGAGAGAACAAGCAAGAATCTTTAAACTAGGAAATATACTGGTGGCATTAAAAAAAGTTGGTAGTAGGGGAGTGGTATAGCTCAGTGGTAGAGCACACACTTAGTATGCACAAGGTCCTGGGTTCAGTTCCTAGTACCTCCATTAAAAAGAAAAGTTGGTAGAATTTATTAGCAACAAGCAGCTGGAGGACAGAGGAGGAAGGCTGAATAGCACTTAGGCTTTGAGTTGGGAGAGTGGAGGTAATAGGGCAGGGGTAGTCAGCGTTCATTTGGAAAGAGGCTAGTTGGAATCTGCCTTGACATGTGCCATTTAACCAGAATTCTGTTGTGCAGATGGCCAAGTACCATGGTCCACAAAGGTCTGGGGACATCGTTATGATCCAGTCTGAGCACACAGGAGCTATAGATATTCTTTCAGCTGATTTGGAATCTGCAGACCTTCTGGGGGACCACAGGAAAGGTGAGACCTTTAGGGGGTGTGGAAGGTGGGTTTTTTTTGGTTCCCAGTGGGTACTCAAAGAAAGGGAGGCAGACAGATGGAAGGAAAGGAGGAAAGTGACCTGTGAAAGGGAGTCAGGGAAACCAGTAGGAGGAACGTTGACTCCCTAAGCAAGATGCCAGCTATAGTGACATTTCCTCTGAGTTTCTCAGTGGTAAACTGCCTGTCCTTTCAGTTTCCCCACCTCTGATGGCTCCTCCGTGCATCTGGACCTTTGCCAAGATGAAGGAATTCAAAAGCAAGCTGGGCAAAGAGAAGAACAGCCGGCTGGTGGTGAAGCGGGGTGAGGTGGTGACCATCCGGGTACCTACCCACCCGGAGGGGAAGCGTGTCTGCTGGGAGTTTGCGACAGATGACTATGACATTGGCTTTGGAGTTTACTTTGACTGGACCCCTGTAACCAGCACTGACATAACTGTGCAGGTCAGCGATTCTAGCGAGGACGAGGATGACGATGAGGAAGAGGAGGAGATTGAAGGTAAATTTAATTTTAACATAATTTGCGGTTTCCTTCTCAGGCTGAACCTAAGTTCTAGCGATCACTTCCTGTGTTGTTCCAGCCCTCCTCTTCCTTGGAATGCAGTGAAGAATCCCTTTCAGCATTGCAAGCTAAGTTGAATGATGCAGGCCAAAGTAGACCATCAAAGAACGTTGTTTGGTAGGAGTTGGTATTAATGGTAAAGAGTGGAAAGCTTCTTTCGTTTTAATCAGTACCCAGCTGCTTCCCCCAGGATCTCCTTGGGGACGGGTGGGGCGAGGGGCAGGGAAAGAAGCGGGTCAGTGCTGCTGTATGTAGCGGCAGTGTCTCTCAGAGCCCATAGGAACCTGAGATTATTTTACATTTCTCAATTAGTTCTGGGATATTTACCTTTATTCCTGATCTGGAACCAAACTGAGTGATTACAGTTTGCTTAAGTACCCATTCTCTCCTCCATCCAAACGGTCACAGCTGGCTGACTACTGTTTACTTTACTTCATGCCCGGAGCAGTTTTAAAAACAGTCTCTGTGCTCTGTCAGTTGTTACTTGCAGCACCTACTCAGGATGGTCCTCAGAATGTTCTTCTTCTTCTTCCTCTTCCTCTTCCTCTTCTTCTTCCTCTTCCTCCTCTTCTTCTTCTTCTTC